ACCGACGTGCCCGGGCGGGACGTGGCGCCGCTGCTGCAGCCGGGCCCGGCGTGAGGTAACGAGCGAGCGCCCTGCACAGGCGCCTCCTTGGCGGGGCAGRCGGAGCCCGGGTGGGCGCCCGGGGACGGGGCGCTTCCCCTGCCTCCCCTCGGGCGCCTCCGCCGCGCCCGGCCCCGGGGCTGCCGCCCGGCAGCTTCCCGCCCTGTGCGCAGGAGGTGCTGCCGCCTCGAGCGTGGCGGTGCCTCCCGCACGTTTTCGGGCCGGACCTCGTGCCCGCCGTGTCCTTATTAGCCGCCGTTGGCGCGTGCGACGCCAGCCGGTGCTCCCCGGCTTACGGGGAGGGAAGGTATCCGGTTCTCCGGCTGCGACTTGCTGAGCACTGTTGGGATGAACACCGTGACCTTGAGGTGGATCTGGTGCCTCGCGAGGGACCGGAGGGCTCCCCGGGCCCCAGTGTCGCACGTCGGGGTCGCCTCGGGTGTTTCGGGGCGTCGTTTGYGCGCCCGTTTGTTGATGCGTCTCTGAGCGGTCTAGGCCAGCTCTACTACAAATTGTTTGCTCTCTCTTTTTGAATTTCCTTAGGCTTTGGAGGAGGAGGTGTTGCTAATTTGATTGGCAGAAGAAAGGGTTCTTGATTTTGCTGTAGCACATGTGGAGGGTTTTTTGCTTATTTTTTTTTTGTATTGTCACGGAAAGTGCTGCCTTTTAACAACCAGCTTCCGTGGTGAATCCCAGCGGAGACTTTGAGAGTGAGATAACTTTTCCCCCTTCTTTTGTGTGACTGACACTTAATCTCGTGTGGTGTGTGAGACCMGGTGTGGTGCTTGCAACCCCACGCTAATGCTTAGGGGTCATGGCCCATACAGATGGTGTCCAGTACCATTTCAGTAGTCCTGACCAYGTTTCAGCCCCACAGCTTCTTTAGAGATTATTTCTCAGAATTATAGGGGATCTTTTAAGGACTCTTGTGTGCATGTGGTTGTCTAGCTCATATCAGGTTGATGTGCCTGAGATGCAAGGGCAAAAACGCTTAGGACGTGATATTTATGGGCTTGTGTCAGGTTTACTCATGTTATTTCTGTGTTCCGCATGGTTTTGCGTGCTCTGTGATAGATCATATTCATGCAGGAAAGGGCAGAGTTCATCTTCCCTATCTGAACTAAAAAATCCAGGGGAATTATCATCTCCATGTAAGTCAGTTTTTATGAGGCTCGGGCATCCCCACCTCATCTGTTTTCTTGGAATAGTTGTCAAGCGATGTACTTGGACCTCCAGAATAAAGCATATTTGACGTAGTCCTAGGAAGCGCTGAAATAATTTCCTGTGTCAGTGAGGTGTCCCTTTCCCACATCTATTTATTCCCTGCCCTGTAACCCCACATTTCTTTGGGTTCTGGATGGAAGTGCAGGGGTGTAGCCAGGAGTATCTGTACACCGCAACAGGCAGCCTGAAGCTCTCCTCTACGCTCTTCCTTGCCTTCTCCTGCAGAAAGACCATACATCACTTTATAGCCCACTAGGGAGCCCACTGCTCTCTCCTGGTCTTGCTGTGGGTCAGTTTTCCACTTCAGACCCATGTCTCRGAGTGCAAGGGACGGCTGACCCCTGCAGGGATGGCTGTCCTTCCTGGGAAGGACCTCGGCACCATTTATCTGCCACAGCTCCGTGTTGACCTTCCARTCACATTGGTTCCTTTTAAAAGCAGTCAGCAGAGCAAAAGACAGRAAATAGGCTCTCATAGGGGAATATGTTTTTACACGGGCTTTGCGAACCGTTCCCTCATTTTTTTTTAGGGTGTACTGTCTTTGGGGGCATCTCCTCTGAGTATTGCAAGGCGTAGCTGGAGCGATTGCAGAAGCTTCAGGTAATTGAGCTCCCTGCTGTACAAAAGGATGTTTAAGCTCAGCTGGTTTACTGAGGGAAATACAGAACAGACACAACTATTGCTTTCTTTCCCTCTTCCTTCAAAAAGAAGAAAGAATAGAGTAGTTATTTCCCCTGAAATCTCCTGAAACATCTTTTTGAGATGTGGTCTGACCGGAGTGCGTGCAAAGATTGCTTAGGGAGGGAGAACTGAGCAAGGCCAGCTACAAGGCTTTCTTCCCTAGAGCCCAGGACAAACAGGACCTCTGTCATGTGTTCGTTGAAACCTTAGGAAAGAAAGGTGGAAGCTGAAGGGGATGATTTGATTTATACGTTATACCCTCAGTCCCTTGTTGAGACCTCCTCGACTGTCAGAATCTTGCCAGGTCAAACGGGGCGATGGTGGTCATCGTCTAGCTCGTGCAAGACCAGCTCTTGATATTCTCCACAACAGTGGCTGCAAATATGTGTCACGCTCTGGAGACCCATAGCTGTTATCACATAAAATGTGGGAAATCATCTAATATTATAAGTCCAATCTGGACCTCAACATATATCAAGTGCTGAATAATTCATCTGTCAAACATCTTGGAGAACAGCAGATAAGTATATTGGGCTTGACTGGAGRGGGGAAAAAAGTCACCAGAGCAGCTCTGTTTCATCAGACTTGCAATTCCTTTTTGCCTTACCCAATTGCATATTGCTTTGCATTAAGTCTTCACTCCTTGAGAATGGTTTCCATTGGAAAAGGTCTTTTTTTTTGTAGTTGAGAAGGGTGACATTGACAGTCTGGTGGACTGTAGGTGTGACCAAGCTAGCTGTGTTTGGAAGCCCTTTCCTTTTCGTGTCAAGCCTCGTCCGCGCTTTGCTGAATGGCATGAAAAGAACAAGCTGCAGATCATGGGCCGACGCATGACCCTSTAGTCATAGGGGCACAGTGATAAGCCCCTGTGCTTGTGGCTGCAGATTTTTTTTCCTACAGAGAAATCAAGCAGCCCAGTTGTAGAAAGGAGTCCAGATTCAGACACGAGAGGCAGGAGTACAGTAGGAGGGTAGGTTCCCTACCATCCATGGGACAGGAACTGCTGTGAGRTGCATCATCAGTCCAGAGCCTTTGGTGGCTTGTCAGTCACCCATAAAAAGCTAGTTAGCAAAACAGGGAGTTAATCCCTAGTGAAAAGAGTTCAGTTATAGGGGCTATGAACCTGAGTGGTCAGGCCAAAACCCTATGTTGCTCCAGTTCTTTCTCAGACAGTGACCAAGTGATGATGCTTAAGGAAAGAGTAAGAGGATTTGGATGTTCCTTAACACTGTTCCCAGTCCTGCCGAGGTCTGTGGCGCGTGACTTCTCCTGTCTGTCTGCCACTTTTATTTTTAATTTCTCTGAATGTGTCCAGTGCACRTTCTTCTCATTTTCCATATCATCTGCAGAACTCTTTAAAATAAACCACGAGGGAAAAAAGTCCTTTGCATCTTCCCTTATCTTTTCTCTGTGCAATCTTTCCATTCCTAGTTCATCTGCCATCCAGTAGATTCTGTGACTGGTCTCAGATCTGGGATATTGGGGAACTACAAAAACACGTCGCTTTCATATCCTTAGTCGTTTGCTTCATCTCTTTATTTTTTTCCCAATGATTTTATATGCCGTTTGGAAGAACTTGTACTGTTCTGTTTCCTTCCTTTGAATGCTTCTCCTTATATATAAACCTTTTCTTTGAACAAGGTCTCAGAATTTAAATTATTTGATTTAAAATGACCGAGGGGTATCTGATTTGGTAAGGGCAGATCTTTTTGGTAGATGGTACTTCTGCTCTGACTGCAGTAGAGTGTCAATGAAGTGGTGTGTCCAGGCAATAGTTTTACCTCTTGCAAGCAGTTCATTCTTTTGGGTGCTGTTTTTAATGTCCTTTATATAGCACCTAATCATGAATATTGTAGCAGATTTTTCTCGTCCCCYGGAAGATTCTGAGTTTGAGGGTATTATTGTTAATGTTAGAGAATGCTTTTCACTAGTATTTAGAAGCAAGTTCCATACACTCCTAAAGAAGTCAGATGTTGTTGTTTTTATTTTCCCTCAAAAAATTACAGTTAGCCCTTTCTAGCTGCTGTTTAAAATTTCGTCTTGGTCGCGTGTCCTGATCTCCACAACAARCTGAAGTTACCTGCGGCTGCCCAGCCTCTCCGTTCTCCCTCAATACATTACAGCTGTTGTACTGTCCTGGGCAGGCAGTCCRTGTTGTAACTCTACTACTGCATTTTTCCACCCAGCCTTGATGCAATTTATTTATCTCATTTAAGACTTTTTTTTTTTTGGTCTCATTTGGTCTTTTTCTATGTACATCGTACCTGGAAAGGCCAGAGAATGCAGTCCTTTTATCAAGTTGCTGAGGTACCTATTGCTTAAACATTCCTGCTTTWATCTGTGTTTTCTAGTTCACTCATCTTACCTCTGAGGCCTGTTTCTGAACGAACACATAGGCCTGTCTTGCATTTGTTTGCTTTTGGGGGTTCTGTGTGAGTACCACTGGCAGTACTCCTTTTCTCTTCTGTCTGGGTGACCACCCCCGAGTGCCTGAGGGCAGCAGGAGTGTGCAGACCCTGTGGGGTGCTGCCGTTTTCCAGGAGTCCCTTCTCAGCTCCCAGTCAGTGACTTGGTGCTGGGGGTTTTTGCCTTTTGATTCAGTTGTCCTCCACTGGTTGCAGGAAGAAGGTGGATGGCGGGTTGGTTGGTTTTCTCCTCTGTAATAGTCCAGTTGCTCTTTGACGCAGGCGTAAACGATTAAGGTGTAAAGCTTAGTCTTTACAGCGTTGAACAGCAGTCTGTACTCTGCTTTGCATTAGTTTCAAACCTGCCACCCACTAGGCTTGCCTGGTGCCATGTGTTCAAGACATTGGAAGAAGCTTTTTTGTTCATCTTTTCCATGCTCAACTAACTTGAGGAAAGAAATGTTTGAAGCCTGTGCAATGAGGTCTTCTTGCAGATCTGTCTTCCAACATCCTCCCTGCCACTTGGATATCTGACTGGCCGGTCTCCGTGCTATCCTCCCTCCTCACAAAGTCAGCTTTCTGAATGTCTGTTTACTGAGCCACCACTGCAGCCTTCCTCTTCCTCCCATCTCCCAAGTGGGAGTTCTTGGTGCCAGAATGTGACTTCCCTTCGCCTGCTGAGGTGTTTCACCCACAGGACCTGCACTGCTCATCATAAAGCCCTGTTGTCACCTGAGGTTTTCCCCTCTTTGGTAGCGCTGTTAGTCTGAAGGTAGGAATATAACTGAAGTTCTTCCTTCCACCCCAACACCTTGGATTGTTGCAGCAGATCCATCAGTAACCTGAAAAAGTAGCACCTGATGTCTAAGGACCGAGGCACCCGTGTGCACAGACATCTCKGTTGAGGGCCACCTCGCTGTATGGGCAGCATTTACAGTAGGCTGTAACTGTCTSCTCTTTCTGCTGGGCTGCTTTCCAGCTCCACTCTAGGGCTTTTTTGATGTAATGAGAACTGGAAGGGAAAAGTAAGGGGAAGGAGCTCACTTATGGAGTTGGGAACTGGGAACTCTGTCATCTTGTTGACCTTGAGGCAAACTATCCTTGAAATTCCTGCGGCTTGCTTTGTTCACTCAAACAAGGGTTTTGCTTTTGCCTTCCTGTGRGTGTGGGGCCCAAATTGGTGCTTCATTAAATCACATGTTTTGCTTTCCTTATTTTATGAAGGAGGAAGAGTTGCTTCTACAACTGTTTTAATTCCATGTGTTGTTTAAATAGCATCTAGATGCTTTAGAATATGAAATTCGTTGGTTTAGGGATTAGGAAGTGGTTTATCAAAACTAACTAGTTCCTTTAAATTTTGCTTTCCTTGAAAAGAAAAACTGGCTTCAGACGGAGTTACTGCACTGCTTTGAAACAGAAGTGGCTGCATCCTGTGATCTCGTGCAAGGCTGAGGACTTCCTGMTATCAAGAGAGATGTGGAAAGCAGCTTGACAGATGCTGAAATGGATCTGAGGTACTGCTCCTTCGTGATGGTGGCACTTGCATTTACCTGCCTCTAGAATGGGTCTGTTAAAGGAGCTTTAAGCTGAGGAGATGACTATAATGATAAGAAAGAGAAATAGACTTACTGCTGGAACAGGCTCCCAAACTTCCTCCCGATGGGCTCCTGCGTGCAGGAGCTCACTGGTGACAAGGAGAGGGGAACTGTTTCTCTTCATTGCAGGTAGTTTCTAGATTGACTAACCAGGAACCTGCAGCTGTGGCTCCAGAATCGGTGTCTGTTTGTAGGTCTCGTGGAGGAGGGACTGTAGGTCACCTACTACTGTGCCAATCATTCTTAAATGTGATTTATTAGTATCTAAAAATCATCCTTTCTGTCCAAAAAAAAAAAAAAAAGGATAGCAGCTAAAGTATAACATTTGAAAAATGTCCAGCCTTGATCTGAAAAGAACAGGAGATCTAAAATGTGTTGTCTTTCTTGTTCTAGATGCTTTCTGAAAGAAAAAAAAAAATCACAGGCAGAAAAAAAAACAAATTGGAGTTGTCTAGCTTCAACTTCCAGCAGAAGATGAGCAGACACGAGGAGCCCCTGTAGTTTTTTGATTTTTTTCCATAGGGAGCTACTGCYAAACTAAATTACTTTGCTTCTCATTTGCTGTTTGGATGAGATGCATGCACTTGAAAGAGTTTCGCTTTTTAAGTGGCTAGAAAGTAATTTTTTCAGCCTTTCAGGAACCATTATATGTGGATGTTGGCATTAGACAGTATTCTATTCTTTCTCACTGCTGCTAGACAAGAGACAAGGACAGAACTGCCTTGCTTTTCTCTGTGTCTGTAGCAAAGCTGTGCCTGTAGGCATGACCTATGACTTGTTTGTAGATGTCTGAGTTGGAGTTTGGTTGTACTGAGCATTTTGCCTAAGATGCACATTTTGGATTTACTTGACTCTTGTTTTTTCCTGTCTCTTTGCTTCCTGTATCTAGCGAGACSCAGGATAGTGAATCTGTATGCAGCAAAGATGAGGCTTAAAGGGCTTGGCCTTCAAGAGACTCAAAGCCCAGTAAAAGGTGCAAATCCAAAGTGCAGCTAGTCAAGTGTTTCCTCACTCTTAAGATAGCTGGTACAAGGGAAATGACAGGAGGCGTTTGGGTTCCAAGCCTTGGGGCTATCCGGTTGCTTTGGTCTTTGCAGCTTATTTGCAATTTTTCTGCCAACTCAGGAGAGGATATTTTTAGTGTAGTTGCTGTTTCTTTGCCAAACATTTCATTTTTTTTTCTTTTCCTATTGCTTTTTTTTTTTTTTTTTTTGGTGTACATGTGATTAAATGATTTCCTTATTTTCTTTGCTGTCCCCACCCTGACCAGCCTCAGCTGGATTTGAAGTAAAAGTTGTTCTGTCTGTGGAGTATCATTAAAAATGCTCCTTGGTAGGCAGCTTACGCTGGCATGTTGAGCACAAAATGCATAATTACCCTTTTCAAGTTGAGATCAGTTTGAAAAATTGTGAGCTCTTGCCCACTCATGTACCTAATGTAGTTTTCCAAAAGTCTAATACAGTTATGAACAGAATTGAAACCTTATGTCATATGTTTAGGTAAAAAAATCTCATTTTAGATAGCAATAGTGCCTGAATTATACTGCKGTTTTAAACAGAAACAAATTCTGACCACCTGTGTTCTGTAATAGGAAATTCTCAGTATCCGGTTACCTAGCACTGGTSCTGAAAAAACACATTTTCAATTTCTTTTTTTCATGCTAGAATAATATTCCAGAGACTTTTCTGCCAAGAATACTGATCCAGTGTAATATTTTGAAAGACTTAATGATAGAATTACAACACACATATTCAGAGAACTATTAAGCTCAGCAGATAGAAATAACCTATTATAGAATGTGRGTAGGAAAGAATTATTTGGATGGGTTAGGAAACTGCAAACAGGAACTGACAGTTGTGGACCAGATGCCATCATTGACACATGTGGAAATGACTTATGTAGAGGCAACCAAGACACATCTGTAAAGCTTTTCTAAAATCTTTTAGTGCCAAGACCACCATTTCTCCTTTTATAACTAACTTACAAGGCAGTGCAGAAAGAAGAAAACAGGGCTTGCTTGCATATAAAAGAATTTTATTTTTTAAGGTGTCCAAATATAAACAGGTATAGGCAACAGCTATTACCTCTCTTCATATTACTTTTTTTCTTAGTATTATTTTTGTATCAAGTAAATAGGAAAAAGATTCCTGTAGAACTGTAGACCTTTCAGAAAAACATGGAATTTGAACTTCTAAGCTTAAAACCAAGATTTATACTTTTGGGGATTTGGGTTTTGTCTTTGAGGAGAAAGCTCTGAGGATCGTTGGATGTGGCTGATGTGGGGATTCTCAATTATTGCCAAATATTCCCTGATATGGGCTATGTGAAAATTCCCAAAGGATAGAAGAAAAAGAGGATCAACTATGAGGATATGATTTTAGGGCACATCAGCAGCTGTCAGCAAACTTTAAAAAAAAAAAAAAAAAAAAAAAAAGGCAAGATTGCAGATCAGAGAAAGTAACTGTAAATTTGCCCAAAACAGGGGGCGTAGGAAGGCTGAGCATTCTCCACTGAGCATGTTTCAAGCATGTAAGAAAGAAATCAGAAAAAGAAAAATAGTGATAGAAGTGCTGGCAAGAGATGATTTTAAGTGACTAAGAGCCGACATGATAAAACATTTCTGTCAGTCCTAGGACATCTCTTCTGGGTAATTATGAGCAGAATCTTTGCTGTGATCAGCAGTGGGCTTGAAAACTGGAAGACTTTTTATGTCCCATTTAGTCTTAGTTTGATATGACRTGTCAGTGTAGCAAATGGCAGTTGCCACTTATCCTAATTTTTATTAAATTTCAGAAAACTCTTGGCAGCAAGATCTGTGTAGCAGATCTGTAAACATGTGGATTCCCCTGCAAAATAGTCCAGTTACCAGAATTTTAATGAAAATATCAAATGCAGTGTCGTTTCTGAGCAGGTACTTGCCTTTGTGTTCCTGTCGTCTGGATAGCTTTCTTTGTATCTTTTATAATTATGAATTACGGTGACATGCCTCTATAGTATAATGGCTTTAATGGATGAGACAAGCACTATTTTTCCTGGTATGGATGTTTGAAATGATTAGCTTCAAGTTGTGAGCATTTTAATAAACCCCACACTAGTTTCCATACAAGAACATTAAGTAACAGATGTTAGTAGTTTACCAAAGGGCTTTTTGAGGTAGGTTATTCAAGGTAAAAGCCTGTTCTCCAAGACTAAGGTTTGGTTGCCTACAGCTGTAGAGAGGAGGGTTTCAGAGCGGCTCCCAGAAGGAAGATCAGTAACAGGCTCCCACAAAAGCCCTCTCCAGGCAGAGATGAATCCCCTTTGGRTTATATTGAGAATCAATTAAGCAAACTGCTATAGGAGTAGATTAGCTGGTAAAAACATGCTGCTGTGAGATGTTCCTGATGGTGTCAGAAGCATTTGGGGATCAATATTAGGTTTGCAGGTACATATACTTAAACTGTGGGCATATGTTGACCACAGTGGCAGAAGCAATGTTGGTTATGATTTCTTGGTGTTTGATCCAAGCAGGAAATTAAAATCTAAAACTGGAGCAGTCTGTCAGGGAGATTGGGAGGTAGTGGACGCTCCTCTCAAATATTGCTCCTTTTTTTTTTTTCTGAGCTTTACTGCTGAGATTGATAGTTGAGGCTTAGGTTCAGTCTTACCTGTTGTGCCCGCCTAAAGATTTGCTGTGGTAGAGCAGCTGTGTTGATTCTCCCTGCACATTTGGGCACAGGAATCACTYGCTGCTTTTACTGTTTGCTCATACAGCCTCTGGCAATAAGAAATCATGGGCGGGCAATTTTTTGTTTTGTTTTGCTTAGTTCATACCCAGACTTGAATCATGGCAGCGGCCAAGCTGTGTTCAGCTGGCTGTGCAACCAGGTTGTACAGTAGTGCTGTGAGGGAGCTTCTGCTCTCATACTTAGTATGTTTTGGTATGTTCTGTTTAGTCATGAATGGTAATGGAATAGACACCTTTTAAGGGGGAGAAATAGTCCTAATACTGTGCAATTTCACCTCGACTTTTTCTTTTTTTTTTCCTCAGAAGTGAGATGCTCTAAAAGACAAMTCAGAATTTCTAAGGTTGATACGCTTGCATGCTCATGAGAAGAGTATTTCCTAGAGAAGGAGACTTTAAGCCACGCTTGCTAGGATTTGAGCCCAGTCTCTAAGCAAGATTTGCTACAGCAGAAGCAGGCAATGAAGAAAGATAGGAGTCTACAGGAAACAGTTGGATACCTTGCAAGCTCCTGCTGTCAGACCTGCCCTAGCAGTATGTGTCTTACTGTTTTAGTTGTTATTTCAAGTGCAGCAGGAGGTACCATGTATTCTGGGGCTGACACATGGCTAGCCCCGTGCCTTGGATTTCTTAATCAGCTTGTTTCCTGTACTGTCATATGCGTATCTACTGTATCGATAGAATGCCAGTGCATGATACTATTTATGCAAAATTTATTTATTTTTTTTTAATGCAGAGGATTTGACTTTTGTAATTGGAATTGTTCCTTGGAAGCAGGTGAGATTTGTAAAACCAGGAGGGACAGTAAGCACAGAATTAATGTTGGCATTGTCTGAGCCTCCTTCTGCTGTTCAGCTACCCTTGGAAACCCCCAAGCCCCACTGATTTTGCTCCTATGCACTCTCTGTCCTACTTGCTATGTTCTTCTCTTATGCCCTGCCCCATTGTTTCATTGCAGCCTAATGCTGCTGAAATTGCTTCTTTGTGGGCTGTTTCCAACCAACATTCGTGGTGCCAGGTCAGGTTTAAATTCTACTTACTTGAAAGGGAGTTTAAAAAACTGTATCAGAAAGGGAGATTTAACTGTTTTCYAGATGGCAGCTGGCTGGGGTTCTGTAATATTGCAAGTATCTGKTTTTTTCTCTCCTTTTGAAGAACCGTAATTTGCATCAGCTTTCTAAAAACACCGTTGGGATCTGCTGCTGACCTGGGTCCTGTGTTTTTGGTGGGATGACACTTTGATCAAGTCCAGAGGGTCCTGGGCTTCAGTGATCTAAATAAATTTCACTTGTTCTAATTGTTCTAATTTGTAGGTTTCCAGAGGTGAGGATGTGCCCTGAGATAAGGAGGGATATTGCAGTTCTTCAGCAGTGAGATTAAGACACTTAAGAATATCCAGGACCTTTAGTAAGATGGTGAGAGCCAGAGCTCCATAGCTTTGTTCTGCTGTCTAACAACCACCTTGCGTCTGAGTTTTCAAGCTGATGTTTGCTTGGGTTTGGCTGCGTTTTGAGCAATGCTACCACAGYGTATTAGGGTTGAAATCCATTTAACATAGGTAACAGCTCATATATGCCTTAGAGATTTCCACAAGAAAGGTTCCAAATAAATTTTATTTGAGGAATGTGAAGATCCTGTAAAAAATATGTAAATGGTTTTATTGGAAAAAATATTTAAAATGCTGTTTACAAGAGATAGAATGTTCTAAGATAGGTAATTAGGTTATAAATAATGATATTTATTAGTTTTTTACTGCTTGATCTCTGACCTCTTTGGAGGAATCAGGGAGATGTGTTGTTTACTTTGAGAAGACAGAATAGAGAATTAAAAACATAAATCTGGCCATACTGAGGCATATCCCAGGCCTGGACTCAAATTTGGGTGGCCAGGAGTGGATATGTAGGGTAGAGGATAAAGGAAAGCAGATACAGCCGTGACTCCTCAGAATACTCATATCACGTTCAGTGATTTATTATTGAGAGGCTTTCTGAGCTAAAGACAGGATCTTTGTGTGTGTGTGTGAGTGCTTGATGGATGGATTTTTTTTAATGAGTTTGTCAAGACTTTTTTTGAATCCATTTAAGCTTTTAGTGTTTACGGCTCCTGTGACAAGGAGCTCAGCAGCTTAATAAGTTGTATGAATTGCCACTTACTTTTGTTTGCTCTTGAGTTTTCCTCCAGGAAGAAAAAATAAATAAATAAAGGGGAACTGAGAAATATCTCTAGAAATATCAAGAGATATCTGATACAAGAAAAAATGTGCCACCTTAATCAGTTAGAAGATCAGGCCCTGCACTGAAATAATTCTCTTACAGGCTTTCTTCCAGAGCTTATTTCCGTGCCTATCGTCATCGTGCTTCTCTGCTGGATTGTCACGTTAGCTCAAAAATTGCAGCTCTGTTGCATCAGTTTTCTTGCAGGCTGCCTTAAAAAGAGAGACCACTTAGCCCAACGTGTTACTGACTGGAGCTGTCTTGATGCCAAGCAGAAGGCACAAGCAGCAGAGCAGTGTGCCAGAATGTTTAGCGTGGCATGCTTTTTTATTTATCTTATTAAAAAAATAAATAAAAAGGCCAAGACCAGATTTATAAACCTTTTAAGATGCTTTTTTTTTTCTTTCTCACGGCTGCTTTCGTAGTACTTCATGCCTTTCTAAGGGCACCGGTTTTAGAGCATCTTTGGCTTGCTCGGCGTTTTCTGTCTCCAGGGAAAGGGATGCAATCTTTTCCTGTCAGACCAACTTTTTATACGGGAAAAGTGTCAGGATTTTGGCCTCTCAGGCTCTGTCTTCAAGTTACCTACCCTTACACTGCACAGGCTGTATCTCTTAAGGCCAGAATTTAGGCAGATATTGCAAGAGTTTTTAACATTTGTTCCCTGTTTGACTTGGGAAAAGCTTTACTGGCGATTGGGAGCGCTGTAATCCTTGCCTCTCTCTTTCCACAGGCACAGCTTAACACTTAGTGCTAGGAGATGATGCCTGCTCCACGCTGCTGCGTGTTGGGAGGAGACCACAGGGCCTCTGCCCTGCCCCACTAATCSCCCTTCATCCCCTCGGCTCCCTGCCTGCACTCGCAAGATAATTCAGCTTGTAGCAGGACAGCAAATTGCAGGCTCAGATGCCAGTTAATCAGTCTTTATATTGTAATAATCTTGGTGAAATTCTAATAATGCATAAATTAAAAATGTAATATAGATTTTTTTAGGAAAAAAATCTCTTTTTTTCTCCACCTCTTCTGCTGTTTCTCAGGGGCGTTTATGAGATCTCTGGTGTGTGTTAGATTTTGGGTTGGTTGTAGACACGCAGCCGTGTTACCCTGGYGAGCCGTCAGCTGCCCCAGGGAACCCATTTTTGGTGTCTTAGCACTGCTTTGTGCTGCTCCTGTGATCTAAAAACGTCTTGAAATTTGGCTCAGACTGTAATTAAATTGACTTTTGCTTTGCCTCCATCACTCTGGCTAGAGCAAGCAGAGCAGATCTTAGAGAACTTTGTTCTGTAATTTCATATTGCCAAATGGCCGCTCTTTGCAGTAGCGCCCCAGGAGAATAATTTCTTTATCAGAATTTTAAATGAGAGAGATGATTCGTTTGTCCCACTCTAATTGCGATTTTTGTTCTGTTTCAAAGCCAGTAAAATTTCCTGCAACGAGTTCTTTAAATGACAAACTTTCTGTCTTTGTACAGAATAGATAAAGGAAAGTGAATTAGAGCACCAGAAAAAGCACTTCTGTTGCCCAGCTTTGGAGACCAAGTCTCATGCTCTGCCCTTCGTCTGAAATTATTCTTTGGAATTACTTTTCCACCGTAAATCACTGCGCTGAAATCTCATTATATGGATGCCTCACTACTAAAAGCATCACATCCAATATGCTTCAGATGTTTCTCTTCAAAGTGGAAATTAGAGCATTACTGACCTTTCAGATCTTTGGAAAAACTCCCAAATTCTCTCTTCGTTGTGCCTAGAAGTCCACCTTGTGGATCTTCAGCTGCCTGGGTATCCCCTGCAAGCCAGAGCTCGCAGTGGGCTGGGGTTCTCCTCACGGAGCAGTGTCTGGCAAAGACTCCTAAGAGCCCAGAGGGCATCCTTGCCTCCTCTCTTGTCAGTGCCGGGCTCATCTGTATTCTCACAGCAGTGGTGCTGCTTAAATGACTCTTCTTTAACCAACAGGAGGAAAATCTAGCAAACAATCCTACGCGGCGTGTGAAACCCGTGATGTCCAATGCAGTAGTAGTTTTGTGGGCATCCAGCATGGGCAAGCTCACTGGTAGCTTGGGGCAGGCAGCACAGCTCTTCTGCCTGAGCAGAAAGGAGCCAGGGAATGACACCGGACCTGCTCTTTAGGAATAAGCAGCACATACCTACGTTGTGCTGCCAAACACAGCCAGTACTTCCTCGAGGAGACCTTCCCAGTTTGCTTTCTGCCTTCGGTGCTTGGAGACTGGGAAGAACTGGTAACCCCTGCAGCTGCTGGACTTTTGTTTTAGGACTTGGTGCATTTTGAAGCATCTTTTCTTCGGAAATGTCTTTAAGATTCAATTTCTTCTTCTCTTTGTTATCGTTTTGATTGTGCTCCAGCAGAAGCCGGCGTACGCGAACGTGCAGCCCTCTTGCAGGACGGGTCTGCTCTTGGGTGCCTGCAGGTAGCTCCCCTCCGTTTTTAGAACCAGATATTCCTTTGAGATGTTAGTCTTGTCTTTGATCATCCTTTGTAGGTCTTGCTCTTTGTAACATATTTCTATCTACTGCCTCCTTGTGCGTGCTACATGCTGCCTGCTTCTTATCCTTCCTTTTGTTATCAGGAAGTAGCCTCTTTTTTTCCTTCCTTTCTTCCTCTCTCTATTCTATCTCAATTTTCTGGTGATTTTTCTTTTTTGGCATGAAAAAGAGTGATGATTGAATGACTGGCTCTAGCTTTTTTTTTTTTTTCCCTCCTAATTTGGTCTGTAGGTTTTTAACCTGATTTTAACTTTGCAGTCAGAGCACTGCAGTGACAATCATTTCTAGGGAGGAAAATATGGAATATTCTTGGGAAATGACGAGAGAACCGCCAAGAAAATTTAATAAAAGATTCATGAAGTCTGGACTGTTTCCAAGGCCAAAAATTATCTTRCAGGAAGAGACAAAATGCCCGGGGAAGATCTTGTTTCAATTCATTTGCTTCCAGGGAAGTGGAGTTAATGCGCATTTGAAAATCACTTCTGTAACAGAATTAAATCAAAATATTCAAACCCCAAATTAATTTCAGATTAGGCTATTCTGAACTCCCTATAAAGACAGGGGATAAGATACAAGCACTGCAGGAATAAGGTATCTTTCTGAACCTCAATGTGATGATTTTAGCAGGGTGTGTTACAAGAAGGACTAATCTGCATATGGCTGAAGCCCTTTCTAACCATCCCCATCTTCTTTGCTTGGCTGTCCATCACAGTGGCAGTGTCTGGCTCCCTGAAGGCTCTTCTACCCTTTTCAGATGCTTTTAGGCTGATTGAATGCAGTACCTGGCAAACCTGCCTGATTTGTGTTGGATGCTGTCCAGTGAAAACCATAAAAACTGCCAGTGCAACCACTGCTCCGTTGAAGCAAGACCTTTTTGCCYGGTGCAATTACAGCTCTCGGAGCATAATTTGGCATTAGATTCCCTTTGACTTGTTGGCTGGGAGGCCCAAGGGCACTGGACTCCGGCATGGTAGAGTCAGTGGCTTGTCCCCCTTTTGGTTTTTGCTGCTGACTTGAAGCATGGTTGCGTCTGCCAAGCCTATGCATGGAGTGAGCTCAGGCGTTTGCAAGGTGAGTTTGCTTCCTTTCCCAAGAGACTCTTTCTGATTGTCATGAGGAAGACCCACGGAGATGCAGCGTGCGCCTCTGCCACAACCTGCACTAATTGTCTTTCCTCCCTCCCTCCCTCTTTTCCTTTTTCTGCAGATAAATGGATCATTTAAACTGGGAGCTACTAAAATCCTCTCTGGCTGGCAAATGCAGTGCCTAGCAGCAGTCATCAAGGACGAACCAAACATGAGTGGAGGAGGGGAACAGGTCGACATCCTGCCGGCCAATTATGTGGTCAAAGATCGCTGGAAAGTGGTGAGTAGCTCTGGCTTTGGGTCTCCTTTGGTGCTTTACACGGAGCTCCTTAAGGAAAGAGACACTTCTCTGTTTAACCCTGAACTCCAGCAAGCAACAGTGAAAAGGTCTGGTTTTGTCTGATGCTGGAAGATAGTCAGTATTGCTGTAATGCTTTCTGAGACTGTTTGGTATTTTTAGAAGACTAAACCAGCCCGTGATTTTTAGGTAGGATTGAACTGTTGCAACCAACTGAGTCATCTTTTAGTAAGAGATTTGGATTTAAAGCTACTGTTGCAAAAAATATTAGAGATGTGCCTATAAACAGACATTAAAGGGAGCTTAAAAGAAACATTTGTGGTTGTAACACGAGTCATTCCGAAAGCTAGAAATTCCATAATTAAAGCTGTCAATATAACTCCTATGTAAGTTTATTATGATACCTTTTTAAAATTATGGTTAAAAGAGTTTCAGTTCTTTATGGGACAGCTGTTTCGTTCAGTGCCTAAGCTGCATGGGGTCAATGAATTAAGTAACCGTTTCATCTTCTACGTAATCCACTGTGTCCCTGAAGGTCTCACTGTCCATTTGAATTCATAGCACAAGTTTGCCATTTAAAATCTTTTTTTGTGTGTGTTGTTCATTGCCGTAGTATCTGTATCAGAAATACTAACGACTTCTTTATTGATGCTTTTACCAGGTGATATAAGAGAGAATGATCAAATTCCTTTTACAGACAGGGTTTCAAATTAATTATTTTGTTTCTTGGACTGTGGGAGAGACATGGGGACAATCTGATCCTCTTAGACATGTGTGATGTTCCTGCACACGCCACCTTGCTCCATTTCTCTTCCTCTCCCATTGCTTGCCTCTGTTCATCATAGTATTTATCCCTGCTTTCTCCGCGACCTTCACACTTCTGCCTGGCCTGTCTTTTTTTTGCCTTCCAGCCTATTTATATTTAAAATGCTTCCTGAGAGCAGATGGAGAATCCCTATTTTCTGTGCGATCAGGCACCGGAGCTGAGACCCCTCCAGAAGGTGTCTGGAGGAATTTCAGGGAAGCCCCACTGCGCTCTTGCAGCTCTGGCTGGACCACGTTCACTCGTCCTAGGAGGATGACACGCGCACAGTTCAATGGATGTGTAGGACACAAAAATATGCTTTATGTTAATACCCCTCTAAAATCCAGCTTCCAGCTTTGAGATGATTTTCCCTGGACACAAATGGAGATTTTTCTACAATTTGGCCAGAGTGGGGCATGTCCATGGCAAAGCTGAAGCCAGACGTGTTCCTGCTGCCCAGCCCTCCTTGAGGTGCAGCCAGCATGGGGAAGAGCCAGGAGGGGGAGGCAGGATTAGTCTTTATTAGTGGTTATTATGGCTGTAGAGCCCATGCTTGGATCTGTGCCCTCTCCGTCCCTCTGTAGCCTGGTTAGTTTGGCCTGTACGTGCTCATACTCTTCATCAGGTTTGAAGATTCTCCTCCCTGCACAGGGATGTTAAGCTTCTCTGCGAAATGATGAGAGGAAAGCTTCTAACATAACCTAAACTTTGCTCCTGAAAACAGCAGAACTCTTAAAAGCCCTGAGCCACCCCCCGAAACAGTCTCAGTTTTGCTCCCAGGGGAGCACTTYAAACTGATTTTGTTTCTGTGAGGCTAATGAAAGTGGTGATTCAGTGATACAGACTCAAGTGGTTGGAGTGTCCTGCAGTTCTGCTTCTGGGGGCTGCTAAATGCTCTGCCCATTAGCCCTCCCCCTGCTTCAGGAATGCAGAGGCATGCAGCTATTTTCCTAGCACCAATTGAGCCTAGAAAAAATAGCTTTTTATGGTTTCTAATGTTGGTTCACAGCAGTCTTCAATACTGCGGAGGGGATCATCAAATTTCCCCCCCTTGGAGGCCCTGAGAAATTACAAGAGTGTAAATCGCGAGGAGAAATTGCGCTTCCCAGCTGTGCTTGTAACATGTGGCCTCACACTAGCTGAACTGTGTGTTGAGATTGCCTGTCAGCCAAAGGAAGCAGATAGGTGGGGAGCAAGCCCCGAGCTGGGGTATTGGCTTTGGAAGGGAATCTGTCCCTTCTTTCTTTATCACAGACCTTTCTGAGTGTAGCCTGCAAGCAGCCCGAGCTTTGCAGTGAGTGGGGAGGAGTCCTGCTCGAGCAGGTAGGTGGCTTATTGAGATGGAGCTGGCCTTCAGCTGCCAGAAGGCTCCGTGTGTCATTTGTCCTCCCGTCGTAACTYTCCCTTGGCTGAGCTGGCCATCCACGTTCTCAGGCCTGGCAGGTATCCAGGGTAGAGCCAGGTTCTAATTTTAGACCAGTTTAATGTATTCCTTAGGYTCCTTTTCTCCTCTCCTTCCATATGTCAACTGACAGAGTTTTGACGAATGAAGATGTTAAGTTATCTGCATTTAGCCTGGTGATGGTTCAGTTTTCTGCCTCTCCCTAAGTGTGTGAAGTCTGGCTGACTGACAGCARTGTGGTTTTTGTTGTTGTTTTCTGTTTTGTTTTAGAAGGAGATGGACTGGGAGGGCTTTGCTTTTTTTCAAAGCTGTCAGACCTGAAGTCTTTYGAGCCTCATTCTTTACTTGCAGGTATTTTTGATGGTCTGACCAGCRGTAATTTGGATGGTATTGGCAACCAGTCAACTTCTTGAGAGTCTCAGGGGTGACTTCATGCACAACTGCACTAAACAATGTGAACTTTGTTCAGGATCTAAGTCAAACCTAAGTTGTACTTGCTTTGAGCTATGTATAGCTATTGATATTGAAGTGATGTCTCCCTTTATCTCTCCCAGTCTGTCTCTATTGGGTACTCAGACTTGTTAGCAAGACAGATTTGGCAACTCCTGCCTTGTACTGGAATAYACCCAGTGACTTTTGCCCACAGGCACATTGTATGTCAGAAGCAGATCCTGGTTCCATTCTAACGACTGGAGATTTTTGACCTGCRCTTCTGGTTATACTTGTCCCTGTCCTGTTTTGGACACTTTGCTAGAATTCCCATGAAGTCTTGTAGACTCTTCCTTTGCCATGACTTGTTTGCAAGTGGTACTTATGGTTAGGAGAAGACTTGGGACAAGGWAAGTACTTTGTCACTCATGAAGCCTTTTGCAGTCTCCTTGCTCTGTGCAGAATTGCACTGACATTTTTGCCAGGTCTTCACATCATCTGAATTTGCCTAGTTTACTTCTTGATGGTCTTTTCAGCTCATGCCTGTTTTACATTAATTGTTCCTTGAGCAGAGTGGACTCAGAATCTGGCATAAGCAGATTGCTCTTCCCAAGCTTTTGTACAGTTACATGAGGCCTGGTAGCTATTTGTGAATGAACTGGCCATGGAGTTGAGCTGCTGGAGCTCCAAACTTGGCTATACGAGGGCTCCTGTAGCCAGTTGCAGTGTCATTTCTTTTTTCCTGGTGGAGCTGCATTTTGTCCTTTACAGTAGTGTTTCTTGCTTGGTTGCCCTAAGCTCTGGAAAAAACAAATTATTCCCAAAATATTTGGGCAATCTAGAGACCTCGTGTGGAGCTTGCAGTGTCCTGCATAACTGCCCATATATCTGGGGAGGCTTTTGATAGTGGCTTCCCATGTCCTATCAGGACATGTTGGTGGTTCTGCATTGGCATCTGGTAGTTCTGAAATTCAGTTTGCAGAGTTCCCAGAGCCCCCTAGTCAGAGACTGTAAGGCCGAAGATCAACTAGAGTGACTCTTTAGTAACCAGTTGCTCCCAGGAACTGATGTGTCCACTGGTGAGATGCTGAAAGGAAGGAAGGCGCATCTGAGGTGCAGTTTATTTTTACTTGTCCACGTGGCAATGGAAGTAAATTCTGGTGCTAGATGAGATGGAGATATTTATCTGATTCTACAACCTGTAAGGGAAACCTGGACACTAAGCTTACATGTAGACCCATCCTACTTATGTAGGATGAACTCGGACAACGACATTGGATGATATCTCCAGGCTTAGCAGATTATGGACTGGTGGAAGATGAGGAATGGGATGAGAAGAGAATAATTCCCTGAACAGTGAGGCCTAACATGCTTATTGCTTAGATGTTTTTCATTAGGTTTTTTTCCCTTCTATTTCTTGACCTGGTATTTAACAATTTCCTTACTTGTTTTTCCTCTTGTGTGATACATGCCCATCTCTCCTTTGGGTCAAGTGAAAGTCTGTGCTGAGTTCCCAGGAGGCACAACAGGAAAAAGCCTTTAAGGCTGGACTTGTTCCTCCCTATGCAGCAAAGACACAAGAGCCTGKCTCTGTGAGGGCCACCTTGATGGCATCTCTCTTGTGCGTTGTACCAAAGCTCTTGTCCCATTCCAGTTGAAGAAGATTGGTGGTGGTGGCTTTGGGGAGATTTATGAAGCAATGGATCTGCTGACCCGCGAGAATGTGGCCTTGAAGGTGGAATCAGCCCAGCAGCCCAAGCAAGTTCTCAAGATGGAAGTGGCTGTCCTGAAGAAGCTACAAGGTAAGGAGTAAAGAAACCAAGAGCCAGAGCTCTTCCTTGTGGACTCTGAATGGTTCAAGCTCACTGGGCGTGCTAGCAGTTAGCAAACAGAGGTGCGAATGAGGGCTGGAAGCTGGTAATAGGGGGTTGTTATGAATTATCAAATTATTTTATTTTGAATCAAATAGCTATCATTAATTTTACCTAAAACAGCTGTGTATTGGTCTAGAAGTGAAAATCAACTACCTACAGTTTCTATAGGTTCTGGTTTTTGCATGGCAAAGCTTATACGCAAACTCCAGGCTACCTTCCTTTTATGCAGGTCTCTTCCCTACTTCCCCTGAAGAAACTGCATTGAAAGGGGAGTTGTCTTCTGCCAGGGTATTGTTGTTCTGCCAGGGTTTTGTTCTATTCACCTAGCTTAAGCAATAAATTATGTTAAATTGATGCTTTCTGTGGTGATCTTTGAAGAGAAACACACGATCCAGGAGTCGGTCGGTGATATTACCATAGGTTCAGGTGACAGTTTGTGTTTTTTAAGGTGAAAAAGAGGAGGAACAGTGATATATCTGATTTTATCTGTGCTTTTCTGGTGGGATGRAGCATCTTAAATAGTACATCTTTTTTGGATTTTATTTAAGTATTATGTATGTATGGACTAAAAGCTATTTTTCTTCAGAGTTTGTGATCATGATCTTGCAGGTTACTAGAGCTTTGCAGAGTTTGGGCCAGAGCAGGCTGGCCGTTAGCCCAGGCTGCAGACCTGCTTCAGGATGTAATTTGGGTGCAGGCAGCTCTCAGTGTCAGCTCCCAGTTTGTTTGGACTGCAGACCTGTACGAGCAGTCAAACTCTGAGATGGTACTGACCACCAAGGCAATGGAAAAAGCCACATAAGGAACATAATTTTGCAGGTCACTGACCATGTCCTTCCTACACGGTCACTCTACACAACACAGTTGGGGAACTGGTGGGATTAGGGCTGTCTTAGAGAGTCTCCATCTACTTTCTAATACCACATGCATTTATGCTTGGCCGTGTGAGATCACTGCCAGTTAGTGTCTCTCGAGTGTCCTGTACAGACATCATATTCTGCTTCCTTCTAGCTATAGAAGATAAAGCTAGTCTTTATCTTTTTAGATCTAGATGATTTTGCCAAAGGCAAAGTTCTTTCTGACTTGCATTGTTATTTGTAAGGAACWTGTGGCACCTTCTAGTGCCCTGTCCACATCTTTATCCTGTCTGGGCCCTGGGAAGCAGCAGCAGGGATGCCCTTCCAGGCTTTTGGCGAAACATGATTGAGACGTCAGGTTATGGAATCTCTCACCAAAGCTGGTGATGAAGGCTGCTCCTGCTGCTGAGGCCTAAGAAGGCCAGCCTTGGACTGCATCAAGAAAAACACTGACAGCAGTTTGAGGAGGATGATCCCTTCCCTCTATTGAGCACAGATGAGACCTCTGAGGTGCTGTGTTCTGTGTTGATTCCCCAGTAAAAGAGATGGGACCTTCTGGAGCAAGTCCACAAAGTGGTTCAGGGGTTGGAGCATCTGCCATATGAGGAACRCAACAGTCCCACCTGGTAGAACTTTTTCTAATAAAAAAGGTCTTCTCTGTCTAGCCAGTCTTCTTGCACAGGGCTCTGATGGATTTTACTCTGCAGTGCAGAGCTGCTSTGCATATTGAGTGGCTGTGCAAGATGCAGCCTGGTCGCAGGCATTGTAGTTTCTGAGCACCTGATCTCATTGGAGCAGTCAGTGAGGCAATTTGGTGTTGCCTACTTTCCATTTACTGTCAGGAGTTGGACAGGTGAGAGATTCCCAATAAAAGCAGGGAAGAAAAGCACTCTTGCTTGCATGTTTTTCTTTTTCCTTGTCATTTGGCAATCCTAGTGTTTAGCATACACAAGTCGTTTCTGTTAAAGTGGTGTCTTAACTCCCTGCATGTCAGTTTATTACCACTGCAGACAATTTCGTGTTGCCACAGCGTTTTGCTCGGTGAATGTAACGCAGCTACCTGAGAGTCGGGGTAGTAGTCTTGGCAGCTGCTGTGCTAATGCAGGGAGGCAGATACTGGCACTTTAAGTAGCTCCAGCCTCTCAACCCAGACTATTTTGCCATGTGAAACAGTCTTGTGGGTGTTTGGCTGAAGGGAAATTTGGGCCATGTATTTTCAGTGTGGTGTGCTGAGATGAGAGGAGGACGTGGGGTGGATGTAGTAGGATWCAAAATCTGCCTTCTGGACCCCTTATTGAATGCTTGCTTCTGGCTCTGTGTAGGGTCTAATAGCAGTTGTTCCTATTAACCTGTTAGTAGTCCAGAAGAAATGATGCCAGTAAACATCCAACAGTTTTACACTTTGCTGTTGAGTGACCAGCCCTTTGTTTTTAAACATGCCCATTAATTCATTTATTTRCTGCCGACGTAATAGCAAGGGTAAACCAGTTGTTGAAATCGTAGCTGATTTCTATCGAATAATGTAGCTATTTTTAAACCTTACTTTCAGCAAGGATTTTTTGTTCTGTGTTGGAAACTCCCCATCTCTAGCTGTCTTGACAGGTCCCTGAAGTCACCTAGTTTGTCTGACCAGAAAACAAATGTGTTGCCTCCAGAGGAAGGAAACCGTAGGCGAGACAACTTTGCCAGACTGCAGACACTGTTTCCCAGTAAAGGTAGAAGGTGATGAAAATATCTCTCCCCTCATCATGAAGGACTGCAGRGAGTGCCTGGTGCCTATCCATGAGGCAGGGGCTGACAGTCAACTTTTCTGTAGAAAAGATGCTCAGTTACAGGAGTAAGCAGTCTGCTTAGCCCCCGAGGTGAGCGTGAGGTACACAGGATATTCTCAGGGGCCATTGGCTTCTAGGGTCGTGGCCTGYAGCAGCAGAGATGCACACAGGCCTTGTGCCACAGCAGTGCTAACTTGTAACTCCATAGGAGATGAAGGCTTGGAACTGGCCACCTTTCAGGTGAGGAGAAAAGACCCTTGCTCCTYCTGAAGACTTGCAGTTGATGAACAGGTTCAGTGTCCTCCAAGCTGAGGAGAAGCTGGGCATGTCTTCAAGTGAAGTAATAGTCAGCAGCTACCAGCCTGATCTATCACCTGAAGGTTTGGTTGCCAGACAGGGTCTCGGATCTCAAATGTCATGGAAAGACTGCTCAGGTTTGTCTTCCTKTCTGACTGTTACCCGCTGCTACTCTTCCACATGGACACCAGCAATACGGCCAAGGGGAACTTGGAAAGTATCAAGTAGGATTACAGAGTTCAGGGCACGTCTTTTTCTCCTCAGTCTTGCCAGGGAGTAGGAAGGATGGGAGGAGAAGGAGAGACACACTCCAGGTAAACAACTGGCTGCATCACTGGGTTTCAGGAGCGGAGCTTTGTTTTCCAAGACCATGGGACTATGTGGGACTATGTAGGAAGATTAATAACTGATGGGGGAGAAAATTGGTCTACCTCACTAAACAGGACACAGGCAGCTCTGCCAACTGGCTGACTACCCTAATAAGGATGGGTTTAAACTAGGTAAGGTTGGAGAAGTGAGAGTTACATAGACAGGGTAGTCAGCAGAATGGGATGGGGTACCCTGTGTGGGGATACCTCCAGCAATGGCATGCAACTAAGGAACTACCTACAAGAACAGACTGTGAGGAATCTCCTTATACTCTTCTTGGGAAATTGTTCTGCCAAAAGCCACTCTGAGGTGTCTCAACTGCCTTTACCAAAATGCACGCAGCATGAGGAATAATAGGAAGAATTATCTGTCCATGTGCAGTCCCAGGGCTATCATCTCGTTGAAGTTACGGACACTTCGGGATAGCTCATGTGGCTGGAGTGCTACTGTGTGCCCTTTAGCAAGGACAGGCCTGGAAGGCGAGGTGGGAAAGTCACCTTTTCTGTGAGAGAGCAACTGCATCGAGCTGTGCCTGTGGATGGATGGTGAATGAGTCAAGAGTTTGTACGCAGGGATTAAAGGGCAGACTAACATGGGTGATACTGTTGTGGGTGTTTGCTTTAGGCCACCTGAACAGTGCAGCTGGATTTTTTACTACCAAGTGAGGGAGGGCTGATGGGAATGTGAAGGTTGAGGGCAACCTTAGCTTCAGTGACCATGAGATGGTGGAGTTGAGGGTCCTCTGAGAAGGAATCAGGGCAAAAAGCAGGAGCAAAAACCTGGATATCAGGGAGCAAATTTTGACCTCTTCAAAGACCTTAACAGAAGAATGGGACAAAGCCYTAGAAAGAAGCAGGGTCCAAATGAGTTGGTTGCGGATGCTCARATTCTACCAGGAAAATACAGGGTAAAGCTATGCAATGATACCACCCTCTTCCCTGCTTAGAAACCCCATCAAGAGCCAAATGCTCACCAGTATCACGTACATCAACTTTAACTTTGTCATCACCAGTTTCCTCATAGAGGAACATGGGTGCAGTATTTGCCCATTTCCTAAAACAGAGCACAAATACATCATGGGACAGGATCTGAAACCACAACCTTCACTCTCTCCAGAATATACTGCACTTTTTTTTGAAGGTAGGTCTTGTCTGGAGCYGTATGATGAAGAGAAGACATGGCAGAACATTAGCTGGTGACTAGTTGGTTTTGATTTTTCTTGAATAGAAATGGCTTGTGTTTGTAACTTAGTACAAGAACTTGGCGTGTAATTGCACGCATTTATTTTCTTCTTTAATCTTGAAATTGCCATTAGCAGCTTTGTTGTTTTAATAGATGGTCATAACCGTCTATTGGTCATAACAATCCTTCTTGTTCAGATGTTTCTAGCAATCGAGCTTAGCRTTTGTCTATGCATCAAAATAGTATTAAGTTCAGCTGTTTCAGGATAAGCAGAACAGACTAGATATGGTGGCAGTGTCTGAACRTGAGCCTTTACTGAGTAAAGGTGGTCTAGGGAGCTGAAGCGTGATGCGGTGGAGCTGTGAAACCAACGCAGTCGTGTCCCTTACCCCTGGTTTAGTTCAGAGATCACAGCATCACAGAATGGTTGAGGTTGAAAGGGACTTCTAGAGATCATCTAGTCCAACGCCCTGCTCCAGCAGGGGCACCCAGAGCACGGRGCACAGGGCAGCATCCAGGCGGGTTTGGAAGATCTCCAGAAAAGGAGACTCCACAGCCTCCCTGGACAGCCTSATGGSGATGGATRTGGTAGTGCTGGMGTATGCATGTGGCAGCTGTCCAAACTGCAGTGTGTCAGGCTTCCGCTCGTGCTCCACAACATCACTTTGAGGATTCAAGGTCCTTGACACTGACTGGTTTCTACTTGTGGCTGTTTTCACAGACTTTTTTTTTCATGTTGAATGTCCTACTACCCTTCTGAGGCAGGGAGTTGGGAAAGGGGAAATCAAATCAGTGTGCTCTACAGGCTTGATGCTGTAGATGTCATTTACAGCTGCAAGCCTGTTATTAGTAATTATTTCTCTTAAAATCACAATCACTGTGTAGTTACGTTTTCTTATATTTCGTCTTTTTTTTTTTTTTTTTTTTTTCCCAGGGAAGGATCATGTTTGCAGATTTATTGGCTGTGGAAGGAATGAAAAGTTTAATTATGTGGTCATGCAGCTTCAGGTGAGTTATGTGCTCCTTGCAAATAGAGGTGGCCTCCCAGGGAAGGATTTACAGTGTGAGAATAAGGTCAAGCTGTGGAACTTGCTGTCCATTGAAAGTAAATACRTGCTTCAGCCTAAAACTTAACCAAGGAAGCCTACATGGGTAGATCTTCAGAGCCCAAATATGCTGGTACTGTCAGAAAAGCAGCTGTCGTCTGCAGCATACAGTTCCAGGAGAAAAAAAACTGTGGTGAAGAACAAATGAGAATTCATACCTGAGCAAACAACATGTGGAAGAAAGGCCTTTAAGGAGAGGGAGACTGTCCCTGGCTCAGCAGGGAATAGTTTCAGACTAAAGCTGCTGCTTTGTGATGCTGGGGCCTTGGATGCTGGCATGTTTCAGCACCTAATGTAAAACTTGACAGGGCACTTGTCCCTGTTTCTTTTCTAGCTTGTATGATCAGAGCTTCACTGTTCAAAGCATTGTAGGCATTACCAACCTAACCTTCCTCTGAGGAACTCGGAGCATGGGTCATACTTCTTTATGTATAATCTGGSTGATAGAATGTGCTGAAGGAAAGTAAGTGAAAGAAAGAAGCTGCCAGTATAAACTGAAGAGTTATTTTAAATAGTGAAGGAAATAAAATAGATGCTAGCAGGCCCTGTGTCCGGTTTCTAACATTAAAATCTTCCCTCTGAGTGTCACAAGAGAGGAACATGAAGGGGGGCTGAGGGATGCACAGTGGGGCTGTGAACTGAGAGTTTTCAATTAGGAAGATGTAAAATTGCTCAGGGGAGAAGGAGGTTGTGGTGGGGGTGAGAGAGATGGGAAATGAGTTCTGTGCAGCATGTTGTTTAACACAGGATGTGGAGAAGTGGGGAAAAACGATTTTTTCATTAATTCTTTGTGAAGGCTCAGAAGGTTGCTTATTTTCAATAAAAATTAAGTGCTCAAGCATGGACTAAAACTCTGAAGTTGACAGTACTTTAAAACAAATCTCTAATTCTTCTAAGCTGTAGTGCTACTCTGAAACACGGATAAGGGAAACCAGTCTATTTCTGAACCATGGGTTTGCCTTCTGTGCACTTTTGGCATTACAAATTCTGATGCTGGGGACAAGAGAAGCTTTTGCTCTCTAGCTAAATCTGGCTGCAGTTGCAGTTTGAGTGTGAACAGGATTCTCAATAGAGCTGATTTGGAGCTCATGACAAGAGGATTTTTTAACCTCTCAATCCTGTCCTTAACAAGCCTGTTGAATATGATTGTACCTTGAAATGAATTTGTTTTTACACAGGATCCCTTACTTTCTAACAGATTTTGGCAACGTGACTGAGCTGCTGGAGTCGGCAACGCTGAAATGGTTTCATTCTTAGTTGTTTAAAGCATAGCTAGTTTTGCACCATCACTCATCAGGCTAAAAAAATCGCCTTCTGTTTCAAAATAGACAGCTTGTGTATCCCTTTGGCCACAACACATTGCCCTTCTCCCTTTCTGTGTGGGAATTGTCCTCAGTCACTGGAACTTCCCTGAGACACTCAGCTTAGAGCATCTGCTGTTTCTCTCTCAGCATGATAGGATCTATTTACAAAGCACTAATTTTTTGCTAATTTTTCCATCTTTCCCTGAGGCAGTAGTGGCCCATTATGACATTCTTATGCTTTTGGTTGGTTTGGGGACTGGAGAGGTGGTCCCTGAGCCTGACTTCTAAAGCTGCTAGGGGAAAACTGGCTTAATAATCAGCTATTTCAATATGTAGCTTTGGAAAAAAAAATCTGCTTTGCCTCTGTTACCATCAGATAAGAAAATTGGTGTCCAAGAAACATTGAAAAGAAAGAACTGCTGTCAATTCAGAGACTCAGCTCTTAGGGTAGAGGTGACAAAATCTGTCTGCCGKTAATAAAGCTGTCACATATATAGAAATATTTATTGAAAAAAAAAAAAAAAAAGAGATAAGACTGAAGTTACTTTTGTAGTGATTTTGTTCATACGAAGGAGCAAGTCTGGGCCAGTTGCTGTGCCTTGGCTCCTGTCTGTGTTACATGTGTGCCCTAACGCAGACTYTACTCTGTGCTTTGAATGTCTTTGTCACCAGATATGTTTGTTGACATCAGGATTAGATCCTGAAAGGTAACTGGTCTCTAGGAAGTGTGGTTGGTCAAGGGACCCAGAGCCTTGAAGTGCAACAGGAACAAACCAACTTGAGCAACAAAAAGACMAAGTTACACTTGTCACCTTAATGTCTTTGAGAATCAGAATTAACATTTTGCTGGTTTGGAGAGCAACCTTGTTTTTCTCATCAAATGCTTAGAATCTCTCCTCTATATGTTCTGTTGTTGAATTTGCTTTGAATAAATGTGAACTTGTATTATAAGTGTGTATATTTTTACAGAAGCAGAATGGAGAGGTTCCGTAGTGTAGTGGTATAATCAGCATGTTCCCGTAACTCCTCTGTTGGTGACTGTTTTGTGAGTCTGTGGGCTTTTATGCCTGATTGCTTTGATGAGTTGGCRCATGCTTTAGTTTTGTAGGATAAAGGAGGACTCTGTCAGAGAGGACACTCGCTTTAATACCCTCTTTTTCATTTACAAGTCCAAGACTGCTCTGATAGCATGACAGCTCATAGCTTATGCTGCCCTTACTGTGCCTATTGCCTGAGTAACTGAGTCAGCTGGCTTCCAARGGCATCAGCCTGGTAGCTTCTCATGAGCATAGGTATCATTTGAAAGTTAAAATGAACTATTAGAAGTTTAGTACAAGAACTAAATCAGACATAAGGCAAGGCCTCTGTTCGATTAACCTTTTTACTTTAACTGAGATGTCTTAGATCTCGCGACAGTGAAACACTGCGCTTTGGTTTGCTGGTTTAAATGTTGCATTGATGTTTCAGGGCCGAAATCTTGCAGATCTCAGAAGAAGTCAGCCTCGGGGGACTTTCACACTGAGCACAACGCTGCGATTAGGCAAACAGATTCTGGAATCAATAGAAGCCATCCACTCTGTGGGATTTCTGCACCGTGATATCAAGCCTGTACGTTGCTTTGGAAGTTTCTCTTCTGGCTGTGTGTCTGTGTTTCATGCTTGAGTCAATAAAGCTCCTGATAGCTTGAGCATGGGCAGATCTCAGTGGAGGCTTTTAGGGCTGCTTCTTGCTGTTTTTATCTGACACTGTTTCCTGTGGGTGACTGTTTTCTGTGGGTAGACAATAGTAATACAATACTATCATTCCTTTGCAAAGCAAACTCTTTTTTTTTTTTTATTGTTATTGTTGGCAGAGGCTGCACCGTTGTGGGTTAGTAACTGTTAGTCATGCTTGTCCCCTTCAAAATCACATGCTGAAGCAATTAACTTTGAGTATTTGTCTGGAGTCCAACACATTATTAGTATAAAATGGGTTCAGAAAGGATGTCTTACTGTGTGACTCATCACATGAATAAATGTGATTTCATGTATTCAATTTAACTGAATAATCCTGGCTTTTTTTTTTTTTTTTTTTTTTTTTTTTTTTGAACAATTGCCTAAAAAAATTGAGGACAGTTTCCAAAATAGGTACTACTGCCTGAGCAGCTGACCCTTTCCTTCTGCTTATGCATGTGTCTGGGAGCAGCTACCTCTTGTGGTGTCAATATGCTAGTTTAGTGTGTATTGGGATCGGAGTGTCTCCATGTTTTGGGGTGAAACCTCATACAAACGTGCTAGGGATTCTGCTAAACCTCCCCAGTGCGAACTGCAGGAGAGTTGTTGTACTGCATTCTGACAATAGAAACAAAAGTAGGACTTCAGGTCTGCTCTCCTGCCCTTGTAGCCTTTGAAAAATTGTAGCGCTACGCCTAGAGTTCGCTCTGTACCTCTGGGTTTAAAGTAGCCACTGGTCACTAATAAAGTGCAGCTTAAATCCTTTACAATGGTGCATCGTGGTGCAGCACCTGGCTTTAAGATGGGGATTGGATGATGACTGCCTCATTTGCTCAGTATCAGTTTATTCACTAAGAACCAAAGCCAGTGCTTCTAGGTGCCTCTGAATGTTCAGAGACATTCAGGGAATGTGCTACTGTGGGTGGAGGTCTTTAGATAATTTTTTTTTGGAGTTATGGCAGGGTAATGCATGCTGAGTCAGGAAGAAAAGTTGGGAAACATTTTGTCTGCAAGTAACTCGGCCTCTTATGCAAGTGATGGAGATCTCGCTGCAGAGCTACTGGTGTGAAATGTAACTTTCTCATAGCAGCTAAAATTTYGCTAAGCTAATGTGAGTTTTAGATATTTTGAGACTCCACAGCCACTTCTCTGCRTAGTGAACTTCTTAACGTGGCAACAGTTCTCTCCATGAGATGTACCTTAAAATCCCTTTCTCTGACTTGTTACCACCRGAGATGTGTGCTGCTGTATGGCAAAATTTTGAATGCAAATCACCACGCTGCACAATTGCTGTCATCCAACTGAGTATTGACTTGTTTTATGTTTTAATTTCTTTTSTCCAGTCCAATTTTGCCATGGGCCGCTTACCTTCAACGTACAGGAAATGCTACATGCTGGATTTTGGTCTGGCTCGTCAGTACACCAACACCACTGGGGAAGTCCGGCCAGTAAGTAAATCTTAAGTATTTTTTTTTCCACTTTCATTCCTAATGGGGCAAATAAAAGGTTTGGTTACTTGGTTGACTTTGATTGTTAYGCTTGGTAATTACAATGAATGGCGTTCAGTTGCGATGCAAGGTGAGAAGCAGGAGGTGACTTCAGCTGATCAGAGAAGAGATGCTGGTTTTTGTCTCGTAAGGTATAGGTAGATAGATTTCCACCACCATCACAGGCTAACCATGTTTTCCACAGGCTTAGAGTACTTGCAGAACACGTGTTCATTAAGTAAGGGGACAAGCCTAATGCTGCCTGTGCAACTTCTGTAGCCCTGGAGGACTGTCCTTCTTTGGTTCTCTGTGAGCACAATTTGGGGAGCTGGGTTGGTGCTTTCTTAGACTTCTTTACGGAGAGAAGAAAAAAAAAAAAAAAARGGGGGGGCATAAAATAGACACTGAGCTACTCCATTTCCAGTCCCCCTTGTTATTTGGAGTCACCCATAAGGATGCAGTCAGCTTTGGATGTGGTAGGCTGTGCTGTGTCCCAGCAAGTTGCCRTCAGAGCACTCCTAGGTTCATTCTGGAACACAGCACAAGCATGGAGGGCTCTAATAATCTCTCATCTCTCTGCTTATCATCCTAGACTTATACTTTTTGACCTGCACATCTTTCCCACCTGCAAAATATTTGTTGCTTCAGATAGGKTTGACTGTAAGGGCTAAATTCTGTAATGTAAGAATTGGTTGGAGAATGTGGGAGGGAAATAAAAGCAAGGGAACGGATTTTGCCATGGGGAGATGAACACAGACAGGAGGACTTTTCTTCTTTTCTAAGTCTTTCCAGATTGSCCCTTCCCAAATGCAGCATCTCCTTTCCTTCCGTTTTCTGTAGTTAGAACTCAGTCCCATCATGGACTCCTAAAACTTGATGTTTGTTTTTCTGCTAAATATTATGTTCACTCTTTCAATGAAACAACTGTGTTTTATGCTTGTATTTCATGTCTCATTATTTGAACTATATTCTTTCTTTACAACTAAGACTTTTTTTTTCCAGTTGTTTCTTCTTTTGGACTCTCCTTCATTTCTCCTGCTAATTTAAAATGACTTCATTTTTATTTTTCCATCTGTATGGAGAGTGTTCTCAGGCCCTGGTTGAGCAAGCAGCACCATATCAAGTCTGGCCATTTTTAAGAGCAAAGGATTCAGCAGGGTCTCATGTGGGATGTGTAAATAAGTGACATGAAATTTAATCAGATGAAACAGTTAGTTGGTCTGTGTGTGTCATAACTAACATAGATCCAAGCTGAAGATGAAAATCTGAAGATTTAATCTGAAGATTAAAAGCTGTGGGAATTCAGCTCACTGTGTACATGGTGAGTTAATGACAGAGGAGCTTGTTGGTCTAGTAGAGTTTCTTTTGTGTCTTAAGCCAAAGGTGCAAGAGGACGTGCTGTCCTCCTGCATTTATCCTCCTACATAACAGGCTTGGCCTAGCCTGATGCTTCCACCATGAGAGGGTTTTGGGTTGGCCTGTGTCTGGTGTACTTTCAGCTGCCTCTTCAGCTGATTTTTAGGCTCCAAGTGCTCTCTAGGGCAACGAGTCACTTCTGGGCAGGATGAGGTTAGGGATGTCTGAGGTGGTGGTGACAATCTTAGCACTGAGGAGGTCAAGCACTTGCACCTTGCTATCACCACTGCCTGGCAAACAGCCTTCCACAACTGCTCTGGAGCTGGGCCTGAATGCTCATTTAGGAGAGAAGCTACTTTTCAGATGTGTGTAGGTAGTGTTTTCTTATATATATCTTTTTTAATTCCAAAGTTAATCTTTTATTATACCAAAGAGAGACTATTAAACTGTGCTTAGGTGAATTCTTCATTCTCTTTCAGTTCCTTTATCTGTGAGGAATAAAGTTCCTAGATTTATGATCTGATCATGCTATCATCATCACTTTTTTTTTTTTTGACTTTTATCTCTGAGATATAATACAAAAAATTATGGGATGGAAGGTGCTCTCTTCTGGAAAAGGTGTGAATTTTCTCTCATGTTTGTTTACTAACAGATTTTGTTATTGTTGTATGAGTAGCTTTTCTGCATTTTTCTGCAGTTTCAAGGGCATTGCATAGTTTATGGATAGTATTATCAAAAGTATTTGCTTTTTTCACATCCTCTGAAATTCGTAATTTCGGTCTTGCTTGTCAGCTTCCCAGAGATCTKGTATAATTTGTTCACGATACAAATGATAGACTTGGTCTTTAGGATTGTTTTAAATATCTTTTGCCTTCCTCTTTTTTCTGTTAATTTTCTGTCTTGATTTTGGAAAATGAGAAAACCAGCAGTTCCATAAAGTAAAACGCACTAGAAAAGTGTTGGCACTGACTTTTGTGCAATTCACAGATGCAAAACAGTATGGAAGTTTTTGATGTCAAAAGGTGAAGAGCCCCTTAGTAAACATAGGCTGCCATAGGCCATCTCTAAGAAGGTCTCATTCTCATTTCTTAGAGACTGACTGAAGCTTTGAAGTGTGTTTCTGCTTTCCRTGATCTCTGAGCATTAATTCCTCTCTCCGGTTGTTACCACTGTGTCTTTTCAGACCCTCTTTGAAGGGCTAGCACAGAAGCTGCTAGCTGGAGAGATGGTGCCCTGCTGAGCTGCTGCTGAGTATTAACAAGATATTTTGCTGATAGGTTGTTATGGAGGGATGATGCTACTTGAAAATTCAACTTGATTCCTCAATATTTGTAAAGTTATTAGTCATTTGGCACAGTGCTCTTTCCTAAAAGCATTCTGTGCTTCTAGGAAAAGAAAACTAGTATCCCTTACTAGGATGCCAGCTTAGAGGAACGTAGCTGCTCTCATCGCTCTGATTACTTATCTCGAGGGCTGTAGAAGTAGCTGTTTGACAGTTGCTCAGTTGGACAGATAGAACAGATTGCTCCGTTTCCCTTAGGGGCAAGTCTTCAGCATCACCAACCTCTCTTGGCACAGACATACGGTTTAGGCTTAGCTGACTCTGAGACCTCCTCTGGCAGGTCTTGTTCCTCTTTACCTCTTTCCAGAGTGCTACATCTGTTCTGTATTTGCAGCTCTGACYGTGGAGTAGGAGACTTCTTTTAGTTGCCAGAAGTCAAGTTTCCCTGCTCTTGGGAGTCCCCATCTGTTGCTCCTTTGAGAGTCCTCCCTTCTTTTCATTTTGGGGATCAGAATCTCCTCTTTCAGTGGCTCTCTGAAGACCCTGCTATTTCTTGCTCATCCTCTTTGATGCTGCCTAATCTGCTCATCTCTTCCCACAGCTCTTGACTTGATGGCACAGGATGTCATGGGTAGTCAATATGCGTTGGAAAGAGTAACACCGAGTCCACTTGCAGAGCAAAAGCTGCAGTCTAAAGAGCAGCAATACGACAGAGTGCCCTGTGGTAACGATAAGGGCCAACTGCTTAAAAGACTGCCAAAAGCTGGTTATCTTTATATAAGCCAAAAGCTTTGCTGCTGTATAAAACAGGAAAATGACTACAATTTGGGTTGTATTCACTGTAGGTAAGTGAAAGGTGATGCCCAAGGAGACAGAAAGCTGGTTCTAATTTTGCATATATGATGCTGACTTTTGAGGTGATTGGTACCATTGAGAAGTGAGACCTTAATGTTTTGAAATAGCTTCGTGAAAACATTGGTGTGATACTCAAGAGCATTCAGGAAGACAATCAAATATTGCAATAAGTCATCAGRAAAGGAACACAAAACAGAAATCAGTGTTGTGATATTTGATGAGATGGAGATGAGGGTGGAGATGGCTTTTCAGGTAGACCACCTGAATGAAAACCTTAGACTTTGAGGTCGAATTGAGTGTCTCTTGGCCTCATTTTTGCAAAGAGCCTTTTTCTTAGTGTTGGTCACAGTGTGATGGTAGCAGCACTGGCTGGTATAGTCCATCTCTGCCAGTCCCCTCCATTCAAATTAAAACAGCTTTCTCTACAGCGCTTCCCTTTTTAGCCCTTCTTTGAGATTTTTGAAGTTGCTTTCACTTTGTGATTGCATGCGGAAAAATAGAAAAATTGGTATAGATAAAACCTGCTTAGAAACACAGAAAAGTTAAAAGAAAACTGGTGGTGTTCTCCATAGGGATGTTCTTCCTGCAGAAAGCTTGTGCCCCATATTTGCCTAGTTGGAGAAGAAAATGTAGGGAGCGGAGTCACCTTGAGCTCCTCTGGCCTCTGTCCTGTTGCAACAAGGGAAGCAATTGTTTCCTTCCCTTAATACTTGCATTGCTTCCTCCAAGCCCACTGCCTTTCCCCACAGATGAAGACATGCATTTTGGAGTGCATCAGAAGAACTTCTATCACAAAATGGATGTGTTGGGATCCAAAGAGCTTTGTAAGAATCTTAACCATTATTGCCTCTAGATGCAGCCTTCTGTCATCGTTCAGAGCGGCACRGGGCAGTTTTATTCCTGTTGGTGTCCTGGATATACTGCTCGTCTCTGCCCCCACAGCAGTGTGTTTATAGGCATTCTGCATTGCTGTGTATTGTAGGAAGCAGAGCTAACTACTGGAGAGTGGGCTGAAAAGCTGTATTTTTAAATTCTTGGTAGTGTCTGGTACAGAAAGAGTACAAGAAAAACTTCCCTCTCCCAGTCGTTTTCCTAGGGGAGGGCTGGATGAGCAGAACCTGTTTGATAGGGAGCACTAGGATCTGGCTGGAAACTTGGAACCAGGAGGGGAATAGAGGCAGGCACATAGTTATGCAGATAACACAGTGAGCAGCGTGTGCTTCCGTAGTGGAGGTGGGTCACAAGGAARCAAGCCGCTCTGCTCTGCTGGCGTGGCTCAGCTTTCGGGTGCTTAACTCTTGTGTCTGTGCTGAAGATTGCTSAGCTTGTCGCTGACGTGCATTACAGAGAGCACTCTGCCCTTCCTCTGCACCTTCACCTCTTGAAATGCACTCCCAATGCTTTCCAAAATATCCTTTGGAAGAGACCGAAATTCCAGAGAGGGGCTTGCTCTGTTATTTATCTGCAA